GAAGCGCAGGGCGGCGTGCACGTGCTTGCAGCGGGCGCAGCCGACGCTCTTGAGCAGCTCGCTGAAGAGCAGCAGGATGTGCCAGTTGTACTTGGCTGAGCACTCCACGTAGCCGCACTTCCAGGTCTTGCGCACCAAGTGCGACACGTTCCAGCGCGGGATCACGCGTCCGCGCTGCAGGTCCCGCTTGTTGCCCACGATGATGATGGGCGTCTCCGAGGTGCCAATCACCCTGCGGGGCAAGGCAGGCATCTCAAAACCCAGCCGGTCCTACAAGCACCGGACTCTGTGCTGCTCTGTGTCCTGCTCCAGGCGCAGCCCTGAGCCCTTCTCTAATCCGCACCACGGATCCCAAATGGGTCTGTTGTTCCTATTTTACGGATGAGGAAACTGAGGCTTACTTGTTAAGTAGCCCTAGCAATCTTGTTCCTGCGGTCCCAAAATGAGTCAACGGAAGTGAGGACAGAAAAATATGAATATGTGCATGTTTGAGAGTTTGTGTGGGAAACAGAAGGCACATCTACTTCCCCTGTATCCTCCCCTCACTGTCCCACTTCTTCGGGGACAGGATAGCACAGCCCCTCACCTTGTCTCCAGGATCTGCTGGCGGATGGTCTTGACGTACTCAAAGCTGTCAAAGCAGCAGATGTCGTAGACCAGGATGTAGGCGTGGACACTCCGGAGTCCCCTGCAGCAGGCATCCGCCCACTCCTGCAACACCCCCAGCAACACCAGAGTCAGAGCAGCCCTGAGGGCTCTCACCGCCTGTTCCCCGTGCAGCTGAAGCCTCCTGTCTGCCCCCCATCTTACCCAGGAGGCCAGGTCTAGCAGGAATGGAGGTGCTCAGTGGTGCAACCTCCACACCCCAAGCCGGAATGGCAAGTCATGTTACCCTCCTCCGGGCCACTGTACTATGTTGTGTGTATGTAGACATTAGGTCTGTCTAGTAACATTCTGTCCTCCCATCCATCAATTAGTACATTTATTAAGTGCCTCTAAGAGCCCAGTCTTGAACTGGTTGTTGGACCTGTTGAAATCCTACCTTCAGTGCTCAGCTGAAGTCCTCCTCCTTCAAAATCTTCCTGATTTGCCAACCTTCCCGCAAGCAGGGAAACTCTCTTCATCTCCTGTGTTCTAACAACCCTTCGTTTGCACCTTAGTTAAAGCTGTTCCAATTCCAGTTTTCCACATCTGCTGTGGGCTTCCAAGAGGGCCAGAGACAGTCTTGTTCATTTTACCTACTCCTTTCTCTCTCTTTTTTAACCCAAGACCTTTGCGATGATATACAACCCCAGCCCCTTTTCAGTTTTTAATTTTGAGACAGGGTTTCACTAACTCTCAACTTGCCCAGGCTGGGTTTGAACTTGTGGTCCTCCTGCCTCAGCCTTCCAGAGTGGTGGTAGTACAGGTGTGTGCTACCATGCTTGGCCTCCCTAGTAGGTTCTGTATCTACAATAGCATTGTTAGCTTTTATCAACGGCACTATCCTGGGTAGTGAGATCTCCGTGGTGCTGAACCCCACCTGGTCCAAGCTAGGATCAATGCGACTCCTGACCTAACACTGCTCTTAGGTTGTTACCTGATTGCTACCCAATGCTCCTTTGTGTGTATCCTCTTTTGCTCTCATGGTTGAGAAGCAGAAAACATACAGAGAAAAAGACTGAGGCTGGATGCATAAGGGGGTCAGGGTGGCTCAGTTGTAGAACAGGGCAGCTTCAGGACAGGGAACATTCGCATGTCAGTTTGCGGCAACTTCTTAGGGAGGAACTATAGTTCCAGACAAATAGGCCTCTAGGAATGCTGAAGGTGCTACAGGCAAGGTTTCTGAAGAGATTAATTAGCTAATTAACCTGCCAGTAGATGTGATTGCAGGAAGTTTCAGACAGCCATTGTGCTGAGAGGGAGGTCACGGAAGTTAGGTGGGCAGTGAGGCCTTTAAGGGCAAAGGGAACTGGGAATTCTCCCTCAAGGGCCCCCACAAAAGACTAGTAGGGAGGTGTAAGTCAGTGATGGAGCACAGGTCTTGCATGTGTGAGGTTCCAGGCCCCATCCCTAGTGAACACACACACACACACACACACACACACAGAGAGAGAAAAAGAAAGAATGAAAGGAAGACAGACTACAGGGAGGTGGAGGTATGTCTCCTATCACAGCTGAGGTTTAGTTGTGGCCACAAAGTAAGACTTTCACTGGTTCTTGCCCTTGAGGGAGAAATACAGGGGAACAGATTTTGATGGCAGTCAACTTCAGAACAGCATTTCCAACTGAAAGGCTTGGAAGATGTGGCAGTGGATTCCCCAGGGGGATGATGTAGCATCTTTCCTTTATGCTGAGGTTTTACTTTTTGGTGCTAGGGGAGGGTGCTGAGGACAAATCTAAACTGTAGGATACCACAAGCTGGTTTCCTCCCAGGCCAGGGAAGCTGTGTGCTGTGGGACAGAGTGACCTATGGGAGCAGCCAGCCTGCGTGTGAATGTGTCCCCCCATCCCACAAGATGTGGAGGCTGGGAGAAGGGGGAGGGATGAGAGGCCCCCACTCTCTGCAAGCTTCCTCCCACTCTCAGCTGGCAGCCTTTGAGGGTGACAGCCCGACCTCTTCCCAACACACCGCCTCCACCTCCTCGAGACCTCCAGGCTGCCTCCCACTTGCTCCTCTCTGGGGGCTTCCAAAAGGGAGAGACAGAAGCCTTCTGATTGGCTAAGTTGACCCTTCACCCCTTGATTGAGGGGAGGAATCAAAAAAGTTCAGTTTTCCTTCCATCTTGCTCTCTGCAGGGTTCTAATTTGTTCTTCAAAAAACCACTTTGGAGCTTTGTTAAGACAGAAATGGAAGGGTTGACCATATAGCTTAGTGGCAGAACATTTGCCTAGCATGTGCAAGGCTTCACTTGGGTTCAGTACCAGAGTGGGGGGAGACAGGGATGGAGGTAGGAAGGTGCAACAGGGAGATGTAGCTGTGAAAGAAATAACTGAATCTGAATCTCAGGCCCAGCAAATGCCATTCTTGGGCTGGATCTCATCTCACCTAGTATGGGGGGAGAATGCATTGTTTTATTTTCAGACAGCAGTCATCAGGGTTCTTGAGTATTTCTTTGCCCATAGTCCCTTATTTGTGCCTCAGAGTAAAATCTTGGATATTCAAGAGTCTAAGACAAGGATCAATCAAGAAGGAAAAAGTCCGATAGAAAAATGGGCAAATGCCATGAGAAAAGGAAACACAAAGGCAGCCAGACATATGGAAAAATGCGTAATTTCCTTCATATGTGCTGCCAAAATAAACACTTTGCTCAGAATCATAACGCAAATAAAGACCACAGTGAGGCTATCATAATTCATCTCTCAGGTTGTCAAAAATATACTCTGATGGTGAGGCTTTAGAGAAATGGGCTCTCAGGTACATTCTTTGCAGGAGCACATGTGCAACATTCGTAGACGGGAATCTGGAGACATCTTCCAAACTCCAGTTGCATTCACCCTTTGACTCAGCCATGCTTATTGCCAGGAATCATTCCTCCCCACAGATATATCTACCTATGTACAAAGACTCGTGGCATTGCTCAAAACAGCCCAAGACTGGAAACCACCCACTTGTCCAACAGGGGTGGGGATCCATGGAACATCTCTTTGATAGAGTACAGGATAGACAGGCAAAAAGAATGAGGTAGCCCTCTAGATACAACAAATATCCCAGTTATAATGCTTAAAAGGGTGGGGGAGATGTATGGTGGTGTGCTGTGCTGTGATCCGGCTGCTCAAGAGGTTGACACAGGAGGATTTGGAGCTCAAGGCCAGCTTGGGAAACATGGTGAAAGATCCCACAACAAAAAAACCAAGGTACAGGGCACAGTGGTAGAGTGCACATTTAACATGTGGAAGGCGTTGGATTAATCCAACAAAACAAAAACAAGGAACATAACAGTATGGTTTTTATTCTTATGTAAAAAGGGGTGGAATAAGAATACATTCTCTTATTTGAGTAAAGAAGCCCTGGAAGTATGAATGAAAAGACAATGAGAACAGTTACAGAGAGTAACCATGGGGTGAAGGAGCAGGGATGGGATCATGGTTTCTCTAGGCCACAGTTTGGACTTTTACTGATTGTATCTTACCTATTCCAAAATTAAAATTACATTAAAAATAAATATATAGCCGGGGATTTAGCTCAGTGGCGCTGCCGCCTGTCTCACAAGCGCAAGGTCCCAAGTTTGATCCCCAATACAAAATAAATAAATAAATAAACAAACAACTAAATGTGAAAAAAGAATCAAAGCTCAGAGTACAGGCTTGGCACCAGATTTGCATGTCTGCTAAGACTGCCATCAAATCTCTCTTAGAGGAGAATAAGAAGGACCTGACCCTAGATCTACTTGAGCTGACGGTCTTAGCTGCAGTTTCTGGGCACATGCCTGCATCAGCCTTTTTTCTTGGTGCTGACCCCAGGCACCCGGGATGGGAGACACGAGTGTCTCTGGCAGGTGAGCCAAAGCCCTGCTGCTCAGGCTTGCTGAGACAGCACTGAGCTCCTGCCAGTGTCAGCCCCTGTCTCCCTAGAGGCCTGAGACTGCTGTGTCTGCAAGGCTTGTTCTCTGCCTTTTGGGTCTCCATCACTGAGGTTCTCTGCAAACCTCTGCACACTCTGCTCAGAGGCTTCTCTTGTGAGCAAACATATCTTAAAGCTCAACTCCCCCTGCACTCCAAACCCTTTCAGGCCAGTTGTACAGAGAGAGAGAGAGAGAGAGAGAGAGAGAGAGAGAGAAGGAGGGTCTGGTCCCAGCAGGCTGGGGTCAGGTACACCATAAGCAAGGGCACTAGGGGTCTTAAATCCAAACCCTAAAGGGAGGTGGCCCTGAGGAGGGGAGGGGGCAGGGTATCCCCAGGAGCAGAAGCGCTGGGGAAAAAGACCTGATTTGGGTCTGAGAACACATTCTCAGGTCCCAACCCATTCTGCAGTCTCTTCTACAGTTGATGACCACAGAGTGGCTAGGGCCATACTAGGAACAGCCCAGTCTTCCCACTGGCCCTGGCCTGCCTAAACCTACCGAACTGATACACCATATCCTGTGACCACCCCCCACTCCACCCAAGCGGGTTAGATAGATGCCTTCTTATGAGCTGCTTTATCTTGCTCATTTCTTCCAACCATGGCACTTCTAACACCATCTAATAATTGTTAGTCTTTCCTCACCAGACCATGAGTTCCTTGAAAGCAAATTCTATACCTGTGTGCTGACCATTCTGTGCTGGTGGCCAGTGCAGGGCATGGAACATGTTAAGCATTCATCAAATATTTGTTGAATAAGCTAGCACACAAAAGAACAGCTTCCTGGGACAGCTGTAAGCAGGGAGCCTCAATATGCAACACGGAGCTCTAGAACCCAGCTGTGGGGCCCTGGCAATAGGGCCAGAGCTGAAGTCGCTGGAGTCCAGCTTCCTCCACTCTACCACCCCACTGTCTCATGATCCTCTGGCCCCCAGGGCCACCTACCTGCAGCGTGTTGACAGGGAAGGCGCTGATGGGTGGGAAGTCCAGGATCTGGAGGTCGTGCACATGGCCGTTCATGACCACAGCAGGCAGGTAGAGGCGGCGGGTGGTGGTGGGCACGCAGACGTCGCTGAACTCGTTGTACAAGAACTGGCGCACGATGGCACTCTTGCCCACACCTCGCGCCCCCAGCACAGCCACCCGGTAGGTGGAAACCATGCCTCCCGCCCCACTCCGCCACCGCGTCCTTGCCTGGGGCTTCCCCGGGCTGCATATTCCAGGGGCTCGGGGCTCAGCCACCGTCAGGACCAATCATTGCTGCCTCTGCTTGCCCTGGGACCTCTGTGGCCTCCACCTGGACTGGGGAATAAGAGGTGGGCTTAGTGCACTGGCCTATCCCTGGACATGTCTTGCACTTTTCTGCCTCTGGGATTTGCTGAAGCTGTCATTCACTGCCATTTGGAATGCCCTCCCTGTCCCACAACCCTTGATTCCACCTATCCAAAATCTCCTGTCTGCTCCTCCTTCTTCAACTTGCCAGGACATTGCAACTGATTAACATTTCAATCTAACTCTTCACCCAGTCTGACTCTCCAACCAACGCAGGCTGCACAGTAGAGTGGAAAGAGCACCAGATTTGGGTTCAAATCTCAGCTTTCCCACTGAGCCAGGACAACACAGCAACTCCTCTGAGACTCGGTCTCATCCTGAAGGGCTGAAACGAGGTAAGTGCACCCCAGTGCAGGAACTCTTGGCATTTTGTGGGTAGAGGATTCTTTTTTGTGCAAAACCGTCCCTGCATGGCAGGGCATTGTACTTCCACGGCAGATCCCGGGAGCTAACTGCCAGTAATGGCCTCCTCTGGATGACCAAAAACACTCCCCCAATTCCCCACTAGAGAACCACTGTACTAGATGCCCACGTTGACACTAGACAGCAGCACCATAGAGCACTTACTGTGCTCACATCTCACAGTTATTTATCCTTGGTCAATACAATGTTCCTAATGGCGATGCTATTACTATTCCCACTTTAGAGCAGGCTCACTGTGTCCAAAGTAACACACAGAGGAACAACAGCTACTCCTTTTTAGAATGTTGCAGCACTTCCATATTCAAGTTTAGTGGTTCTAGATGGTGACTCCCTATAGGCTGAGGGCACCCCTTGGAGCTCAGAGGTCCTTGAATACAGCAGTGCCTAGGTTAAGAGCTGCTAAGGGGTTGGACTTTGACAGGAATTCATTAGCTCCTTGCTTGCTCAATTTCCATGACTTTTGGAGCTTGGTTATAAACCCCAGCTTTGAAGTTTCCTACCAGTGGGCCAGTGGGCAAATCACTTGCCTAGTCAGTGCTGTGCTCAGGACATAAACAAAGTGGGGTCAGCAGTCCTTTTTTCCGAGGTAATCCCAGTAAATTTTTTAGTCATCAGTTGTAAACCTTTCTCTTTCTGTTGGGGATGTGACCCTCAATGGTTGCTAAGTCGGTCTGGGACAGACAGGCTTGCTGGATTTTGATGGGGCCATGCATGTGCGTCCTTTTCCTGTGGATACATACATGTTCTTTCTATATATGGGCAATTCCCAGCTGAATGTCCTGCAGGCTGTCCTTGTTCAAAGGACTCAATCTAGGGGTATGTATGTATGCATTATAGTAAATAAAGGGCAGGATTTGGAGTGGGAACTACCAGGGATTGATTCCCAGCTCTGCCATTCACCTGAAGTGTGTGTGACTTCAGGTCACTGCAAGAAACTTCATAGGGTGTCGGTAGGCTGAGCTTGTGAAGCACAGTACCTGGCTCAGAGTAGGTGACAATAAACAGTGGCTACTGCTACATGCAGGGGCCCTTTGCTCATTAAGGTTTTCCATAGTCTCATTGCTAGGGACCTCCTAGCAATCCTGGGGATGGGGTCACTAACCACTGTTGCATAGGCTCTCATACACATACTGTGTGAGAGATTCTTCACATTTTATTGAAGGGAAACAAAAACAAAACCCCACAGACTTAAAGAAGTGAGAACCTCAGACAGTTGAACTGTGGACTAAGTCTAGGGCCCTGATCTCCTCTGTGTCCCGTGGATTCCTTCCCCAACAGGTGCCTGTACACTTAAGTGGGGAAGTACCAATTCCCCATTCCGATACGTTCCTCCAGGCCCCTAGCTTCCCTAGGCATTTCTGGACACCCCGAAGGGAGGCAGAGAGACAGAGCTGGGTTAATTACATAACAGCACAAGCAGGTGGGGAGAGGGCAGTCTTAAGGGAGGAAGAAAGGGCAAGGAACACCAGCCTCCCAGGCCTCTCTTTGGGTGTGGCAATTTAGAGCTTTTCCGGATGCACCCTACCTGCAGGTTCTCCGGGATACCACCTTCCCGACCCAGAAACCTGCCCTTTCTGGGGAGCAGCACAGATGAAATCTGGGGACAGCCCTAGGAGCCAGGGTGCCAGAGGGGCCCCTTGGCAGGACCCCGGAACTCACCAGGCCTGAGTGGCCCGTCCCCAGCTCTGAGGTGACCAATGCCCCCTCTTTCCTCCCGGGCAGAAGTCCTGCCAGGTTGGGTGGGGATGGAAGGGACTGTCCTAGGAAGCAGGGCCCAGTCCCCTGAGCTCCCTCCCCAAGGCCTGCACTCTGCAGTGAGTCTGCAGACAGTGGCCAGCAAGGGGCCGGGCCACGCACTGGGGCCAGGGCCAGGTTCCTGGCCGAACACCTGGGTCCCTGCCCCCAGACCGAAGAGGGCCAGGGCTCTTGCGGATCGCAAGGAAAGAGTCACAAGTCCGGCCGGCTGTTTGTCCCCATCACGTTCGCGCGAGGGTGTCGGAGGGGGGTGGGGGTGCATCGGAGGACGCTGTGCTCCCCATGACCTGATTGGTGGGAGTTTGGGGGATGCAGGAACCCAGCCCGCTCTCCGCCTCCGGCGCCTCTCAGCATCCCCGATCCGT